GTGAACAACACGTGAAGATCTGCTTTCTTCGCGGCCTCAGACCACCGGCAGAAATGTTGCAAATAATCTGTTGTACTCCAGTTGTGGGTCTCATAATAGGGTGCTATTGAAAAGTCAGTGATGACAATCGTAATGTTGATCACATCTATTAGATTTCGTTGATTTAACAGCTTCTGAAGGAATGCCATATGAATGACCGCAAACTCTTCGGCAAATTTCATGTCGAGACCAAATCTGTGTCTAAATAACAACTCGTCAATCGATACGGAGATGTTTAGTGTAACCAAACCAAAGTTTTGACTAGGTTTGTCATTCGCTCTGACCTCTGGTCCCCGACTTGTCTCTAATATTTATATTATTTTTATTTAAAAATTTACATTTAATTCCATAAAAAATATAATTATATTTACTGATGAAATGATTGCCACAAATGCCTCTTTCATCTGTTGAGTAAGGAATCAGTTCCAAGAAATACGATTCTGCCCATCGTTTTACTCTATTCTTATGTCTCTTCCTTTGAGTCAATGAATATAATCGGCGATCAATATCTAAAATACCCGTCTGTTTGAAATATTCAATAAAATGCGGGATAATTGTCGAACAGTACAGCAGTTATTATAAAAATCTTAACAAACCATTGAATTGCTATTTTGACAAATGGATAAAATAATATTTCCTCTTCTCTTATTGTTGATGAAGACATCTCCACTAAACAGACACTTATTGTCCAAAATCTGAATATTTTTATCATAATTTAAAGAGTAATTTTGTAAAACAATATCCAGAATTGTATCATTTGAAATTGTAATTTGAATTAATTTGTATGAATTATTTTCGCCGATTATTATTGGATTCACCGTCTGGTCATCAATTAGAAGTAAATTACTTGATCTAACCAAAGTGAAAATCACCACAATATTAACAAAGCCTATCATTTTGTTACAATAATTATCTTGAAATTTGGAGATTCAAACAATTAATAAATAATATACTAAAATATCTACATGCAAGTTTGTTAATTTAGTGTAATAATCAGGGTCTTTGTATGGGACCGGGGGTATAAATTACATATTTGCAATGCTAGTCAATGTAAAATATGTAACCCCCGGCCCCACACAACGACCCTGATTATTTCACACACTGTACTTGAAATATGATAGTTTAACATGATACTTTACCAAGAGTTATGCTAGAGTTGTACTGTAAACGAGTGTAATATTGCGTGAAGAATACAAAACCGCACTTTAAGACAAGTATCGGATACAATTACAATTACAATGTTATTTCACAATTAAAGTATTGATATTAAAGATAATATTGTTGTCAACTAATTAAGTCAATACAATTTATGCATTAATTGATTTTGAATTTAATTTTAAAATATAATTACAGTAAGATTAAAATAATTGTGAAAATGATATAATATTACTAACGTAATATTAATTACCATATAACTTACAATACATTAAAGTAGACATTAATTATACTGTTAATAATAGCGTATTGTTGTTAAAATGCATTTTTCTAAATTAGTTAATATCAAGTGTTAACAATTAATGTATAGATAATGTGTTGTTTAGATATTATTCTAAATAATTTATTTATTCCCAACATTAATAGGTTAACCAAATGTGAAGAACTATACAGTTATACAAAGTGACAGAAAGTTTGCATTTGAATTATTTAATTTGTGTTAACTTTTCAATGAAATTTGGTATTGAATATTGAATATAAAAAGGATATTGAAGTAAATAACCATGTTTTTGTTGTTTGCGGTGGCATTTGTTGAGACCATTAGACCACTTGTCATATCTTTTTTCAATGATTTTAAAACAATTAATATGTGGTTTGTATTTCTATATCAAAATCTATATTTTACTGTATATGTAATGAAAGGCTTATATCCAAAAACAATTTGTAATGTGTTAGCAATGAATATTATGAATTGCAAATTATATTTCCTAAAAGAGATTTTTGGCTTAAAGGCTATTGTTTTGCAAAACTTATTTCATGCAAACAAATGTGCATTTTATTAATGGATTTAAATCGCCGATTGAATTGAAGGTAAACAAACAATTGTATGGGTATTTTCTTAGATCACAATTTATTGATTTATTATTATTTCTGTATTTAAAATGTGTTTTATTTTTTGATACTTTTTGGGCGACATTGAAATATTTAATTAAAGCTCAACTCTTTATGCCCCCAATTATTAGGTTAAGGAGCTAACGGTACGAATAGAGATTGGTGTATAGGATTTGATACGAAGTGCTTTTCAAAAGCTTTTTATAGTTATAGTCTATTAATTAGTTAATGAATTAATAAAAATATAGCCTCAATTGAGAGGTATTTTCAGTAGAAATGCCATTAACCAGAATATTACATGTATTTTCAATAACATTTGTAATTAATGATTAGTTTAATTTTATATAATGATTAATTTATACACATTTTAATTGGAATTAAAAATTTATTTCTTTTTTGGCACAAAAAGTTTGACAAAAGAACATAAAGTGTTAATCATTTCTCTAATTAACTAATTACGAGTATTTAAACATATTTGATAACATATGGGTTGTATTATTTAACCCAACAATTATTATCAATGTGTTTGTAATTATATAAATAAAATACAATTGTATGTCATTTAACCCAAAAGATATAGTGTATGCCATGAAGACTGTCCTCCAAATCAATTAGGGATTCCTCTCATCAATTGGTGAGAAAAGCCATCAGTTGTTGAACTCAAATGTTATTTAACTCTGTTTTAAACATTTAAATGCCATTAATATTCACTCTTTGTGTCTGACTTTTGTGCGTTTTGAAAGTCACAGCAAAATAAAAATAAATGATAACCAAATATATGGTATGTAATGATTAGGAAAGAGAAAGTCAAATAAATTTAACTTTCCTCTTATTCAATGAGCAATTAATTTAAGTAAAATATTTCAACGATAGCTCCTATCATAACGGAGAGAGAGAGAGAGAGAGAGAGAGAGAGATACAAGTTATAAGAAAGTTAGTGTTTTTCATCAACAATAGTATCCACTAATAAAAGTCTATTGATTCTCATAAAAGAAGATCTCAAAGAGAGAGAGAGAGAGAGAGAGAGAGAGATCCGTGAAAGAAAAAAGTTCACTTTAAAAAAGTTGATACAAATCTTATGATACAAATATTAAGTAAAAGCAAAATTAAGATTCACTTTTAATGGCCTGACCTTCAAATTAGATATAAAACTTGTAATATTTGTGTGTTTGTATGTTGGGATCAAATACGTGGTAAAACCTGTTTGTCTTATTGTGAATGTTAAAAGCACAGAGAGTTTAGGTTAACATCTCATTTGAATATCTGTTGGCAAAAAGTAAGTCATTGGAAAAGCAAACGCTTATCACAACCCCATCGTAACTCAAATCATATAAAAACTTTTGGTTTTACTTATATTCTGTGAGACACTGCAGGTCTGGACTTCACATACCATTGCCTGTATTCTAATCCCTAAAATTCACACATCGTTTCATAAATATACTCAACATTTACTAAATTGAGAGGAATTCAAGTATTGAGAGGACAGACCAAAGTCGTGGCCCTAAAATCAGATTAAAGTTTTAAGACTCTTAACCCTTCATTGCGACCTACGTTTGTACACTAATTCAATTTGATATGTGACCGTCCACTCCGTGTCCCCTCTACCCCTCCACCCCTCCCCCTCTCCACAATTCTCACTCATTAGGAGTAAAATAACAAGATTTATATAAAATTATGTTTAAAATGAATAAAATGTGAAATAAACTGGTTTTGTGTGAAGTGTTTGCAACTAATATGCAGAGGTAGTGGTAGTGTTGACAGGACTGATACATAATAGCACGTGATATAATTGTTGTATGGGTTGCCAGAGACAGGTATGGGGTGTATGTGTGCGCCAGTGCTGTGGCGTTCACAGCGCTCACAGTGTATGCAATGTCTGTGCGTTGAATACATTGAATAGCATTGCAATTGTGTTATGCATTACAAGCAGAGAGTGTGTACAGTGTGTAGAGCAGAGCCAATAGTGTGAGAGTTTGAACCAAAAAATCGATTTTTGATTCTTTTTCTCTTCACTCGTATTAACAAACCATTGATTCAGTCATTCATTCAGTCATTCATTCACTCATTCAGTCATTCAGTGATTGGATTGTGTTTTGTATCCACTCTTCACAGACAGACAACTCATGTGTTGTTGTATTGAATGAATGCTTAACTCATATGCTGTGAAACACCGAAACCCAAGACAAGCGGACGAGACATGACTTCTTCACCCGTTGTCCTCCGTCTGAGCGCATCCATGGCTGACACGACTGGAGCCGACGATAACCTCAATAATAACTCAATAGGTTTTCATCCCATTGTAATCAATGGCAAGAAGTGTCGCTTTCATCTCAACACCACTAATGAGACCATCATTTGGGAACAGGAGTTGACCAACACTTACAACAACAGTAAGTCCTATCACTTCCATGTCTTTCATGTCTTCCTCCACTCCCTCTCCATTGCTTCCCTGCAATGGCAGACATATTGCATGTCTTCTTAAGCCATATGTTAGACATAGGGCTTATATAACGAGGCGTTTGTCTCTTATCTAACGCTAACCACCCATTCGTACCTTTGATTGCAATTTTGGTTTTCATTTATTGATAAAAGCACGAAACTTTGACTTTTTATACCATATATTGATATATCGGTTAAAACAAGTCATATGTTTTGAATGCAATTATCATTTTATAAGCGCTTATTATTAACAGAATATTCGTTGTCTATCTCTCTATTCATACAACAAATGGTGATTTAATCACTGATGCGATCGTTAAACTATTTACTGGATTTATATTAATTCTTACCATTGATTAGTAAAATATCATTAATTATAAATGCATTTAATATTTTATGCTTTTATTAAATGATATTTAAATTTTGTTGATATTTATGTGTTAATTAAACCCTTGTTTTTTGTGAGCTATTGAAATGTCACAAAATCACTACCTATTGCAGAATATTCCTGTAATTGGTTTTATAATATATGATAACTTAATGCCAACAATTCAGTGTTACTATCAGTAGCTTTTTATACGTTAATCACATCTACTTAGAGATAATTATTTTATAAAACAATATTTTTTATTACAATAGTTTTAATGAATGAATGAATTTATATTACATTTTGATTATTCTGTGCTTAAGATACGGGGAGTGAGTAATGCATTTGTGTAGATATGATAACAATAGGACTGACCAACTGATGGTGTGATGTCTGAGAGAGTGGTGCAGAAGGAGGAGGAGTGGTTGTGTGGTGTGATTGAGATTCCGGCTCTTTTATCTAGAGTTTTTATATTACTGTCATTTCTGATAAGAGACTTGATATGAAGTTTGAGAGCTTTTTTGATTGTCAAACAATAGGTGTTATATCAATATATTATATATTAAGGTTAGATTTGATGCCATAGTTTTGTGGTTTGATTTTAATGATTGAACTCATGGTTGACGAGAAGCGGAAGAATGGGAACCAAGAGTTTGCCATTCAATTGACTTACACCTTACGGTTCAACGAACGTCTCGATAGTTTTGTAAAATCGAAATTTATACCCATTTTTTTGCTTTACTTTTATTGAAAACAATTTTGTTTCAATTGAATCGTGAATTGAGCCACAAATCCAATTGTAATAATCAATGGAAACGATAAATGATTTGATTTTAATTGTCGATAACAGGAAAGAGATGCCGGAATTGTGTGTAGTGTTGGTGTGTATGTAATGTTACTGTTGTTGTCAAACATTGTATTACATTTGCACACAATATGCAGTATTTGAGTGGTTTTCATAATAAGAATGCCTTAATGTTTGCTGTATTTTACATTTTTTGCCATTCACTCAATTAGTTCTCTACGTTTGGTTTCCGTGTTTTTTATTATTATTAATTAAAATAAAATCAAAAACAACTCAAAACTCGTTAAACTCACAGAAATATTATAATGGGATTACAGTTTGGGAACGAGTTTTTATGTGCAAATAGTTTTGTTTTTGACATTACATTTCAAATGTTGCCATTCTTTAGTGCGATACTTGCGATACACTATTATCCACTTTGATGTGACAAAAATGACAATGTTTAATATTCTCATAGGTTCTAGTGGCATTCAGTTTGACGGGTATAACCAGGCTCATTTGTTGGCCCAATACTCGGCACATAAACCTAGTGGTCATTGTCTTAATTTGTGATAACATTTATTTAAATTAGTGGTGATTTTAAAAATAGAATTTAATAGTATTTTCAAAGCCATTCTCTTTCTCTCTCCTTATACTTGAAATTTAAAAGTCAAGCCATACTTAAAGATAAGAAACTCTGTCATAAAGTTTTCAAGCATTTTGTTTGAAGCCATTTCTTTAATCGATCGAAGTTTTAGTTTTAATTCGCTTTTGTTTTAGTTGTTTCGCAAAGAATTTATGACTTAATTTTGAAAATTAAGATAATTTTCATCTCAAAAAATACAATTTGCCGTCGAGTGACACAAATAAAGTGAACAATTTCTGCACATTTAATACTCATGTATAAAGAAATAAGTTTTTCTATTTAATCATTTGGTTTGTAATAAGTCGTGAAAATGCATTTTTCTGTTTATATTATGAAACCAATAAATTGCTTTCTCTCTCTCTCTCTCTCTCTCTCTCTCTCTCGTCTTAACGAAGAAAATTGGAGAGAAATTTAATGAATTTCTATAATATTATGATATAATAATTGAATGTTTTATATCTGGAATTTGAGGACAACATTACTATAGCATTAAGAATAGATTGTTTAAGAAAAATAAATATAATATTTCTCACATTTATTATTATATGCAATACTATTATGCAATACCGGAGAGACTGAGTGGAAAGAGACAACAACAATAAGATTTTTAATTGAATGTTAATATTAATCATTGCTATTGTGTTGAGCAATAGATATAATAATGTATGTATTCATAAGAAATAATAATTATAGATATAGTTTGCATAGAGAATAACGTGAAGGGAAGCGTTAGTGTTATGGTCTGTCAGTACGTGTTTGTATAATACGTGTGTCAGGAGTTGTGGCTTAAAAATGCATTTTACTATTACTTTTACTTTCTTTCATTCTCTCTTCAATTTCACTTAAATCTTGTATAAAATAATAATAATTATTATGAAAAATAGGTCATCGAAAGCATTAATGTTTATGAGAGGTAGTAAGAGAGCCGGCAGTGAAAGTCGGTCTCACAGGCAATGTCTCAATATATGGGATGTTTTTGGGGTCAGAGAAAGTAAATTGTTTTTCATATACAAACAGTGGTGACCAAAATACTGTTGCATATTTAAATCTCTCTCTCTCTCTCTCTCTCTCTCACTCTCTCTCTCTCTCTCTCTCATTCTTTCGCTTTCCTCTCGAAATTTCTTTTACAATAACTTATGTTTTCGTCTTATTATTTAAAGCGAAGGTCTTTTTACTCTCTCTCTCTCTCTCTCTCTCTCTCTCTCTCATTCTTTCGCTTTCCTCTCGAAATTTCTTTTACAATAACTTATGTTTTCGTCTTATTATTTAAAGCGAAGGTCTTTTTACACGTGAAGGAAAATGTGGGCAAAAAATCAAAATTAGACAATATTTTGTCGACAACTTTTGTTTTCTGAAAAATGCTTTGCGGGAAAATACGTGGGCTTTTGTCTCATATGTTTAGTCACTAAACTTTAGTGCATATCAATTGAATTACAATAATGTTTGAGAATGCAATTTGCAAACACATTGTTCATCCCTTTTAAGCTCCCGATCACTCATTACACTCGCATTTATTCAGCACAATATGTTTGCAATTATTATTCAATACATTTTTGCGAAAAATATTTGACGATTGCCTTAAAGGCTCATTAAACACAAAGTAGTGTAAAGGATATGTAACATGCATTGAAAACATTACACAACTTACCAATAAGTATTGGTTTAACAAACTATACGAATTAGTTCACTCTTGCCATAAGAAAATTATCACGTTTGGCGTGAAATATGATAAGGAGTGAGCCCTGAAAATGGGAATACCGTGTAATGGGTATTATGTAACTTTTGGTGACACTCTTTATCCATAACTATTGGAAACCTACGAATTTCCTTATCATATGATTGTTGTATTTATTTACTGTAATTAAGATTTTTAAAAAATGAATTTTAAAAATGTTTGATTAGATTTTCTTCTTCTAATATTCTCGATAATTCGCTAAAGACTTTGATTTTAAAGGATTTATAATATTTTGTTTGTTTGAGAATATAATAAAAATGTGTTGTTTTTTCTTTCATTAAGTCATTAATTAATCTTTCAATTAAACTGCAATTAGAAAACTAATGACTTATTTGTTTTGTCATTCATTTTTGCATTCAAAGACCCATTGGCTGTGTATTTATTTTTTCGGGTAATAA